GACCTATCTATATTTTAATCTTATCACACATATGTAGTTAACTGACAAAATATTGAAGCATGCATGAAAAAATTATCACAGCCCCCCGGGCTAGATCTGTCTTTATGACCTCATACAGTTTATCTTCTCTGGCTGCGTTTTGAAGATGCGTTTGTAATTCCGGTCGGTAAATGCTATTGCAGTTACGTGCTATTAAGGCGGATGCAAAGAGAATAAATATTGTCATCAGATAATTAAAAGTTAGCCCCAGAAGATTGATAGAATTAAACCTTAGGAAATTTTGCACGAATATTAGTCTTCATATGCATCTATTATTTATCGTGCACCTGTCGTTTCGACGGCGATAAATGCAGGTTTTAGAGAAAGTTGTCAGTTGATTGTGACCAGAAAAAAATGGAACGCTGTAAGTTTGAGGCGGCGTATACTATAACTACAACACCATATGCAGTGTAAAACCTTGTATTTTCCCAGCTAAGAGACATTTATGCAAAATGACGCAGAACGACGACATGACGATAGATGTACATGCGAGGTACGAATTCGAACTTAAAGACGACGAACTTCAACTTTAGTTGCCTCGTTCAATTAATTGAATCCTACCAGAAGGCCTCCTTTAGCTTGAAAATAAAACAGTTCATTCAACAAAAGAAGGCGCCTTTGACAAAAGGTTTTAAATCTTTTTCGCGCGCTGGTAATTGACCCAAAATAACAATGCTTCCCAAAAGTTCCTGTTTTGATAAACATGAATAATTTTGAAGTTCTCACAGGTTTTGTTTCAAACACCAAAGTACATGTGTCTTTCTTAACTGATTTTACTTTTAAAATGCGTGATGACTCTCGCCCAACTACCTGGTTTGGTGGCTTCATTGTTATAATCTGTTATGGCAATGTGATATTTAGAGGCTTTGAAGATCATGAACGGGTACGAAATACTCTCCCCGAAATGCATCGGCAGAAGCAAGCTATCAGATTGACGAGCCTTCGCCACATAGTTAATTATGTATACGAAATAAGTTATATGAAATGACATTATACGAAATGACATTATTTAGAAAATGAAAGTAAGAAAGGGTGTGATACACTCCTAAAGGAATGAACATTGTAAACACCAGAAACCGTTGTCTTTGAGGCCCTTTATGACCTGCGTATTTTTCATAAATTTTACAATATTTAATACTGATACATTTGAATTTGTTTTGGTTTCAGCCTCACCATACGTCACTAAACATGTCTGCCGAAGCTGCCGTAACAACGGTACACTGTATACTCATCATTACAAATATTATTGGAAACACTCTTGTTTGTGTCATCATAACGAAAAATAGAGAAATGAGGTAGGCTTAAATTGAAATACTTTATTATTCACTGCCAGATTATCTCCAGAAGAGATGAAATTTAATATAATATCAGATTGAAAAGTAGCTTTCGAAGAGCTGATCCGTCACTGATCTGCTCTTTGCGTTTTTACCGTTGAGCTCTGGGACTCATGCGTTACACAAAATTCGTAAATTCGTATTATTTTTGGCGCTCCATGCAGTGACACAGTGCTAGGTTTACTTGGCTTACGTTGCGTTAGAGAGCTATGCGACACAACGTTTTCTAATGTTAGCAATGCTTATTCCATAAGGAATTTATTAATTGTCACTTTCATGGATCGGACCTTCTTACTTTCTTTATCTCCTCATGTTAATGTGGTAGCAATTAGCTCGGCTCGTCAATACAGCTTGAATCTGTTTCTGCCAATTCATTCTTGGGACTGTAGAATTGATATATATCGTGCTCGTTCGTGAATTTAAATTCTGAAATGGTCGTATTATCATAACAATAAAGGCACCAAACTAGCTCTCATTTAATATAGCTGAAAAAAAGTTATCCAAATAGTGGAAAGTGTTCTTCACTTTCTTGTACACAACTGATCAATTTTTCTTTATCTGGTCTATTTTTAACATACTTAGCCGAATAGTCATTTTCCATATATCAAAATTCTAACTGGTTGGCTACGAGGCCCGAGGGAACAAAACAAAGGGAATTAGTTATTCATCCCTCAACTTCGATGCCATTTCTTTTGTTATTTCCCCAAGCCTCGGAGCGTACCCTTACCAAACCAAATACTATTTTAAATGTATTTAAATACTATTTTTAAAAACTGTCTTTTACCAATTTTATGAGATAGATTAAAAATAGGGCGAAAAGTGTATTTTTAAGGTATTTTTCGACTGATTTAAATGGTGTCTCAGCTTGCTTAAAACACTATTGAGACAATGTTTGAAAAGTATTTTGAAAGGCTTTTAATTATGGTTTAAATTCCAAAACTCGAAATCCTTTGCTAAGTTTAAATAAATATATAATTACAATAGTCTGTAACTACTTTAAAAATCTCCTTACGAACTCAGCAAATAAAAACAGAATACAAATAGTTTTAAAAACAGGTTTTAATCTGCAAGACTATTTTTAAAGTAGTTTTAACGGAAGTAGACGGGACGCACGGGGCCTCTACTGTAAGTACCGCAGAGAAATGGTTGGAAATTTTCCTAGCGTTCCTTATATACTCTCACTAGGGTTCTTCGTCTTGCGGCCAGGGAAGGCGTCATAATCTGTTTCAGTGACATGTCGATGATATCCAGTAAAAAATAAACCAGAAAGGACCGTTGGAATATGAGACAAGCTTTAAAATGAAGTCACGATATTAATAGTGTTTTAAAAGTAAATAGTGCGTTCGAGTCATTCCCGATGCTTTCAAATGATGGCGGACTCCACCGACGCCAATAATCGGGAACAAAACAAGGTCATTATGTATCGGATCACGCCTAAACACACGTGAAGAAAGACTTGGGTAGGAAAAAAGGTGAGCGGACAAAACCGGGGAATGCCGATAAATCAAGTAATCCCCCAATAATGAACGAATTTCACAACATGAACCTTCCTCTGCTTCTCCCCCTGAACCAAGATCAGATCTACAAACTGAACTTAAAGATAACAAAGTGCCTACGAATGGATGTTGAGCGCGGCGAGCAGACGTAAATGTCTTGTTTACCCAATGAAAGA